AGAGAGAGAGAGAGAGAGAGAGAGAGAGAGAGAGAGAGAGAGAGAGAGAGAGAGAGAGAGAGAGAGAGAGAGAGAGAGAGAGAGAGGGAGGGAAACAGTAGGGATGCGACCGTCAAACTTCACTGAGAAGGGTAATGACAGCTTGCATGGATCTTCTCATTGTTCTTTATTTTGTGAAATACTCGTCTAACGATCTGGACACAGTCCCCTCAACTAAGGATGTCTTCCACAAGGCGCTGTGCCGGGATCGGGCAATATATTCTGGTGTTCGGGAGACTGGGAGAGGAGACAAGGTTCACACCCTGTTCTAATGCCATGGAATGTGGCCGCAGAAATTGGTATCGGAATGGTAGGCTTTTGGATGGAGAGTTGTATGGTTTTATGGGTTGGGGTTCTAGAGTTTTTTGGTTTCAAGTTTTAGGGTTCTAGAGTTCTCGAGCTCAGGGTTTCAGGGTTTAGAGTTTTAGGATTTAGGGTTGAGGGTTTAGATTGACCAAATGGATCAGCGCTTGCAACAGACACAGACAGACTTCACACTTTGTTCTGATGATATGGAACATTCACACATATGAAGTGTCCAGAGCATTGTCTGAACATTTGGCATTGGCATTTAAAGCCGACATGTCACATATGAACTAGACATGGCATGCCATACAGTCCTCGCATACTTCGATTATTAAGTGCTTTCAGCTGTACATTTGGCATTTAAAGCCGACATCACTATTCAGCGGACATAGAACTCACACTTATACCACGTACTCCAGCTGGACATCTGATCCTAATGACATGGAACACACAGAGCACCTTGCCACCTAGACCACATATATGGGTCACCACATGGACCACATGCATTGGGACCTAGATCACTTGGACAACTCAGCTGACACAATCACCCCCTGGAACAGTCGGACAGCTCGCCTGGCAAACCTGGATCACTACCTGAACCCACATGGATCACCACCTGGACCACTGGATCACCACCTAGACCACATGCATTGACACATGGACCACTTGGGCAGCTCGCTCACCTGGCAAAGCTGAATCGCCACAAGGACCTGAACCAGTCAGACAGCTCACCTGGCACACCTGGATCACTACCTGGACCCACATGGATCACCACCTGGACCACTGGACCAGTCAGACAGCTCACCTGGCACACGTGGGTCACTACCTGGACCACATGGATCACCACCTGGACCACTGGACCACTTGGGCAGCTGGAGCACGTGGTATGCACCACCTGGACACCTGGACCACTTGGGCAGCTCACCTGGCAAAGCTGGATCACCACCTGGACCACTGGACCAGTCAGACAGCTCACCTGGCACACGTGG